GGGGGGGGCGCAGAGGGTTAAAGAGGTGCTGCAGTACAGGCAGAATGAGAAAAATAAAGAGCTCATTGAACATTAAAGCATGGAGACATGTCACAGCAGAGACATTAAATACAAATATGAACCTGAACATTTGCAGAATATGTCCTTGTTACCTGGTCCTGGTCTAGGGGTACCAAAGGGAAGTGACAAAAATATAAAATAACCGGGCGAGAGAAAAGAGGAGAAGAAGCTGAGTTGTGAAGCCACAAGATGGTCTTTTAATTGAAAAAATAAAGAAAGGCTCACCAGCCAATTTGCAAGGCAAACTAAGAACGACTTTCTTCTGAAAGAAAGTGACTAAATAGTCAAATGTAAAAGACACGACACATGCTGCCCATGTCACACATGCAGCCAGACGAGAAGGAAGAGAGCGACTGCAGCCTTTCTAAGCTCCCTTATGGAGGCCCTGATTGGGGATTGGGAGCACCTGAGGGAGAGGCTGCACCTGGAGGGAGACAATCAGGGGGAAAGACACACACACACACACACAAGCACACCCACAAGCACACCCCAGCACCCACTACGGCACGTAACAGTCCTCTTTAATTAAAATAAGAAAACTTGTAGCAGTTTTCCATGTCCTAAATAGTACAATAAAGTATTGTCTTTCTCCTGTATTTATTTGCATTGCATTTGATCATGGCGGAATTACAAAAGTAAACAGGTTCCATTACTTACATTGTGATTCTCAGGTTAGGTTACTGAATGCATTTTTTTTTTTTTACCTGTAACTACTAATTATAACACTTTTTTAAAACCCCTCCCAACCCTTCTTCCACTTTGGGACAAGAACAAAGCCAGAGCTGATGATGTAGCTCCACACAGGTCAAGCTATTTGTTTACCCTCCTCCAGAAAAGCCAACAACAACTTGTGAGCAAATGGTGCACAGCAGGCACCGTGTCACTGAGTCTCCGCGAAGAAAGCGTAATTGTCCCAGTAATTAGTTGCTAACAACAGCAGAACAATGGGAGTGGACCACAGCTGTATGTAGAAAGCCTGAGAGGGGGTCGCACCTTCTGAGGTGTATTGAACCCCCGGACCACCAATCAGGTGACGGCTGACTGACAGCCTTGACAACAATACTCATTGATCCTGTTGTTTATTCTCTGCCTCTCATGTGATTGTCTGCTCACATGTCACCTACTCGTAAAGTCGTAAACAGCGAGGTGAAGAAAACAACTGCTCAGATGACCTGCTATCTCAAGCCCCTCTCCCAATGGTGGAAAACCCATTCTTATCTTGTATTGACTTTAGCAGGATAGCTTACAATCATGATTTATTAAAAAGACTGAATGGTATTTATTGGCTCCAGTTCCAATCGGCATTTAGTGAAACCCCTATTTTGGCCAAGTTATGGCACCATGATACGGACATGTTGCAGTGAAAATGTAATTATTACAATCAACAGGGAATGGACAATCTTTATAATTTATTAAAGTGCAAAACATTTAATTAATATGTTCTCCTCAAGACTCCATCGACAGAAACAGTCATTTAACCTCCCCGGTGATTGTAAAACGCTTCATTTAATCCTGACAGAAAAGAAAAACAAAACCGTCTTTTTTTAAGAGTCTCTAAGAGAGATTGAATCAGTAACAGATGATTATAAAAGAAGCATCCATGGTAACATTTGAACAGTTTACAATGCTGCCTGGCACTTCTGTGAAGTCGAACATTACATATCACAAAATAAACCCTAAAAATAAATGCTCTTCAATGGCAGCGGAAAATAAGTTTTGCCTATTTTTTAAATGTTTAAAAACCTGCAACTACCTGCCAAATGACCCCTAACACATCACAGTCCCCCTGCTTCCACTCCTACTGCTATGTATACAATGTTTACTTTATTATTTGCCCCTTTTGTTTGTTTTTTTGCCTTTTTTGAAAAGCGCTATACAAATGTAATCTATTATTATTGTTATTATTAATACTGCTGGGTTAAAGCCCTTCACCCCAAATTTGATCTTCAAAAAATCTCCCTGTGCTTGTATGACCTCTCTGAAGCGGTGCTATGTAATCTCCAAGCTTTGTTCTTAGTTTCAAAAATTAATATTGAAGTAAATAAATACACAAAGGGGTAAACCGGTACACACCCTCATTCTTGCCCATTTATAGCACCATGATGAACACATGATGCAGTTAAAACATAATTACTCAAATCAACAGGGATTTGGACAATCATTACGATTTATTAAAGAACATTTATGTTAGGCTCTCTTCAAAGCCGCCAGACGCCATTGACAGAAACGGTCATTTAACCTCCCCGGTGATTGTAAAACACTTAATTTAAACACGACAGCAAGCAACCATTGTAACATTTGAAGATTTTACAATGCTGCCTGGCGCTTCGTGAAGTTGAACATTACACGTCACAAAATAGAGCCTAGAAAGACATGCTCGTCAATGACAATGGGAAATAAGCTTTGCCTATTTAAGGCAGGATTTCCAACGTTTAAAGGGGCCCTATTCTGCTCGTTTTCAGGTTCATATCAGTATTTTGTGCCTCTACTGGGACATGTCTCCATGCTTTAATTTTCAAAAAGCTCTGTATTTGTTCATACGGCCTGTGCTGCAGCACCTCTTTTCATCCTCTGTCTGAAACCAGAGTCCAGTCTGCTCTGATTAGTTAGCTGGCCTGCTCTGTTGTGATTGTTAAACCGTTTACAGATGACCCGCCCCTAAGCCTATCACAAATTGTTGGAGCTCTAGCATATACAGTAGAAGTGCGAGTGTGCCGTAGTGATGTCACTATGTCCCGGGAAGAAAACAACAAGTCCTACAATGGAGGCGTTTCAGGAAGAGGGGAGGGGAAAACTCCCACACACCCCCCCACACTTTGGGATTTTAGCCTTTGCAGACCATTTACATGTATAACAACCTATAGAACACACTACAGGAGAGGGAAAACCCATCCAAAAAAACATATGGGGCCTGCATAAAATATACCTGCTAATTTTGGTAGGGGAAAGCCCCTCACCCCAAATTTGTTCCAAAAAATCTCCCTGTGCTTGTATGACCGCTCTGAATTGTTGCTAGTTAATGGAATATGTCCCATCCCAAGGCATCTCGGAGGAAGCTTTGTTCTTAGTTTCACAAATGAATATTGAAAGGAGTACATTTGTGAGTGCCAAACACAGAAAGAGAGCCTTAATTAGGCGCATCACAGACAGGCCATGATTGTCAGTGCTGAGTGCATGTGGGTGGAGGTTGTGAAAGAGACAGAGGGGAAGTGTTTACCTGCATCTTTTGTGTGTGTGTGTGTGTGTGATCCTTAATTCTGTGCAACAATTTACCCCCCCTCCCCCCTCATACCATTTAATTCAGGTTTGTCAACCTTCCTCCTACTCTTAATTTGCAGAAACCCTTATGGACAGTCGGTGGGCAACAACAGAGCTGGCATGGACTACGTTCCCAGAGAGCGGGGTGAGTTAGTGTGTGTGTGTGTGTGTGTTTGTGTGTTTTCTTCATTTAACAACATTTGTTCCATTGGCTTGTTAATAGAGCCCAGTCTGCCTTGAACAGCACACCTCCTACTGTTTTATATCTTTGTTTTTGCAGTGTATGTTTGCTTTCCCCGGGTACTAAAAAAAAGCAAATGAGAAACACATTGCTTGGAAGAAATCAAAAGATTGTTAATGTTGTGTAATGAAAAAACGAAGGACTTTAAACAACAAAACAAGACGTGCGGATACACAGAGCAAATCCCCTCAGCTTGCCAGCACTATTAGGTACCTCACATGTCTCCCCAGGACAGAGTCATTGAAAGCACGTGTCTTTTATAATATAGGCCCAGGAGCGCATTACAGACAGAAACTAGAGTTTTCAGTTGATACCCCCTATAGGAACGGTGAGAAAATAAAACAACACGAATTTGACCCCGGGGCTAACCGCCTGACAGACCTCCCCCACTACCGGCCAGTGTAATTTGTCTTCGCTACGTGAGCGCAAAGTCAGTCAATGGAAATGCTGGGTTTCCATGGAAACGATCTCGGGTAGCCCTTCCTCCCTTCCTTTTCCCCTTTCAAAGGCCCGGGCTCTGAATATCCCAGCATCCATGAAGTCATATGTCAGGAGTGGCGAGGCAGCCCCCCCCCCTCACGGCTGACAGGCCCATACGTTTGGAGGGCCGGCAATTATCATATTTGTCAGGTAGTGCATCAACGTGTTGCCGGTGATTTACGACGCCTAATGCTGACTCGTAGGGCTCATCGTTTGGGAATAAATTGCGCAGGAGCTGCAAGACGTGAGATGAGTTATGCATTATTTTCTTCCAGCTGAAATAATCAATTCCTGGGAAGCTCATTTGTTATGGAAACGAAGCATTCTGTCGGAGAGGGAATTAGAGGGAAAAAAATGTAAAAAAGATTGACTCCTCACAAGGTTATTTCCTAATAGACTAAACGTATTGACCAATGGAGCCATTCATCACAGCCTGTAATGTTAGCATGTTGTGAAGCTGCACATTGACATTATTCAGATTGTTTAAATTATGTTCATGTCCAGGTAGTCTATAGCAGGAAATTAGAAAAAAGATATTGCCCCTAATGTCTAAGAAAGTGGCCATTATCAAAATTGTAATGAGTGAATACATTTGAATGATTAACATTCATACAGTGAACACCGCACTGTGCAAACACGAATACATAAAAGGCATACCATCGCGAGTGCCTTTGATATTTAAAATTTGGTAGGAATATGTAGCATGGTGAGATATAGTAAGGAAGTAAGCCTTTTTAATTTTATGTGCAACTAATTGTACTTATCTTATCATATTTAATCTTTTATTGCACATCCTTACTTCTTATTTAATTTAAATATTTATCAATATTATCTTTTTATTCTATTATAATTATTTGATGAAATACTCAAATGGAACTGGCCGAAACCCAATTCCCCCCGGGACACAAAAAGTAATTCTGATTCAATCTGTATGTGTGAGAGAGAGCTGGAGACAGCTCCAACTATTTTGGCTTTAGCCTTAAAAAATGCACAATGCATTAGTTTCTAACTAGCCTTGGAAATAACAGCTTTTTTAAGTTGACTTTTGGCCCTTAAATCATGATTCTTTGCCAACATTTCGGACGCTACATTAGTCCTTAAATGGTAATTTCTAAAGCTTAATACTGTAAAAAGACATCAGTCTGACTTGCATATTAACCACAACAGTTATCTGCTCTCAGGCTGAGTGTGTAGGCACTGGAAAAAGATATATAAATATAATATATTCTGCGTAACATGAAGTACTCAGGAGTGCAATCACACTGACAGCATTGCATTTAGATGAGTATTTTAATAAATAACTCACTGTTTGCATTATAGATATACGGGAAAAGTTTCCATTTAAAGTGTAAAAATGTATGCTCTCATCTCTCCTGGAGCACAGATAACACATTTATGAGGTATAGAAACCAAATCTCCTCTTGAGGCTATTTCGATTGCACTGCAGCAGTTATAGCTGCTTCCTATAGGTGTGTATTATGATAAAAGTCCAACACACACAAAGCTGCAAAACATCCGTCTTCCTACAAACCTGCAACACGTGAGCAGCGTCAAATGTGCATAACGCGTGAAATGTGTTTTAATGAGACGTTTTCTATTAATAGCCCGTAATGATTGGGATTTTCTGAATCATTCATGTAGTTAGAAACATTTTAGCTGCAAATTATTCCTCACACATGTACACAACCCCTCTGTGGGGGAGTGTGTGTTGCGTTTTTTATTATCTGTGTGCCGCAGACGTCACTCCCCTGTTTTTTGGTGCCCTCTATACTTGAATGGTTTGCATTAGGATGCGTTTAACAGTACTCCACTTTAATTAACAACATATTGGATAAGGGGGTTTCTGCGCTGTTGTTGATGAATGGGTGATAAGTCTGTTAATAATAAGATAAATTAAATGTAGCCTAGTTTTATTCTTAAACACATTTTTCTGCATCAGTTGGACCCCCTGCCTTTTGGTTTGTCACAGTCTCTCTCTGTTGTCTCCACAGTGGGAGGAAGTGAGCGGCTACGACGACTCCATGAGCCCAATCAGAACCTACCAAGTGTGTAATGTCCGCCAGCCCAGCCAGAACAACTGGCTGAGGACGGACTTTATCCCCCGTAAGGGCGTGCTGCGCGTCTACGTGGAGCTCAAGTTCTCCGTGAGGGACTGCGCCAGCATCCCAAACATCCCCGGCTCCTGCAAGGAGACCTTCAATCTGTTCTACTACGAGTCCGAGGGGGACGCAGCCACCGACAGTAGCCCCCTGTGGAGGGAGAACCCCTACGTGAAGGTGGATACCATCGCCCCGGATGAGAGTTTCTCCCTCCTGGAGGCGGGTCGGATCAACACTAAAGTGCGCAGCTTCGGCCCCCTCTCCAGGGCCGGCTTCTACCTGGCCTTCCAGGACCTTGGCGCCTGCATGTCGCTCATCTCCGTCAGGGTTTTCTTCAAGAAGTGCTCCACCACAATTGCCAATTTTGCCGTCTTCCCCGAGACCGCCACGGGGGCAGAAGCCACCTCCTTAGTGATCGCCCCGGGGGCCTGCGTCAACAACGCCATGGAGGTGTCCGTCCCCCTGAAGCTATACTGCAACGGGGACGGAGAGTGGATGGTCCCCGTGGGCTCCTGCACCTGCGTGGCCGGATACGAACCATCCTCGGACGGAACCCAGTGCCAGGGTACGTGTGTTGTTGTTTTTTTAACTCGATATCTGGGCAAACAGTATTCTGTATTCAGTATTCTCTATTGTACAGACAGACTTGAGAAGGGGAGATAGAGGGGATGAGACCTGGCAAATAGTCCCAAATCGGATTTGATGATGGGGACCACGGCACAGTACCAGGGTCGCCCGCTGTACCAATTGAGCTATATGGCGTCCATGTTATTTATTTTGTTGTTAAGGTATTTCTTGGGCCAGAGTGCCTTTTATGGAGATTTAGAATCGAAAGGGGGAGATAGAGGGGGTGAGGGGTGGCAAATGGTCCTAAACTGGATTTGAACTCGGGTCCTCCACATGGGGACCACACCACTGTACATGGGTCGCCATCTCTACCAATTGTGCTATAAGGCGTCCCGTTTGTTATTATTTTGTTATTCTCTTAAGGTATTTTTTGGGCCAGAGAGTGCCTTTATGGAGATTTAGAGTTGAAAGGGGGAGATAGAGGGGACGACATTGCCTGAAATGTTCGGCTGGCTCAGGATTGGAACCGGCTTACTAGTCAGCGGATACTTCATATGGGCCACCTCTAACTAGTGAGCGATATGGCGTCCCGGGTTATTATTATTTTATTTTGTTACAGGATTTTTTGGGCCAGAAAAAGCCTTTGTTGGAGATTGAGAATTGGATGAGAGAGATAAAGAGGACGAAAAATGGCTCGGGATTTGAACTGGCAGTGGACACTCCATATAGGCCACCTATAACCAGTGAGCGATACGTTGGCCCGCTTACGTGTGTTTAACAGACATTCAGACTTTTTATTTAACCAAACCTCCTTTATATGCTCGCTGCACGTCACCTCGGTCTGTGCCCTCTTCGCTGCATTTATTGTGTGGCTCCTGGAAAGGGGGTGAAGGAGGGTGGAGGAGAGTATGAATTAATGAGCTGTTGCAGAGAGGAGCAGAATACAAATATTGCAAGAGAGCGGCGCGGGAAGGAGAGAAAGATAGAATAGAGAGGCGACTCTTTTTGAGGAAAATGCAGATAATAGAAGGGAGAGGCGTCCGGAGAGAAAAAGAGATATTAGCAGAGAAAGAGAGATAGTGCGAGGTGTGAATTGCCCAAGATGGGATGGTAGCAGCAGCCAAAATGAGAAGAATGAAAAGGGAAGTGAGGGG